TCAGCGGCAGCTGCAGCAGTGGGAGACAGAGGAGGAGGAGGAGCAGGGGAGACCACACACCCGCCACCCCCCACTCGCCACCCCCGAACCCGAACACAGGGCAGGGCGGGATGGCGGGTAGGGAGGTTACGGGGGGGGGGGGGGGGGGGCGACGCGCGGCCTCCTAGGGCGCCAAAGCAGGCGGCAGAAGGGGCGACGCTTGCCCACCCCCCCCAGGTCGCCCCTCCCGTCGCCTATCGAGGCGACCTGAGGGGGCCGCACGCGGCGACGAGGCCGCTGGCGGCGTCGGCGGGGCCGATAGGGGCGGCGACAGAGCCGCGAAGGGTCGCGCACGGCTCCCCTGGGCGCCGCGGCGGGGTAGCGGGGAGTGGCGCGCCTAGAAGGAACGGGGCCGCGCGACTCGAGGCGCGCGCCAGAGAGAAAATCGCCGCGCGCCAAAAATAGGTCGCACGCCACGGGGCTTGCGACAGATCGAGTAGCAGCGGAAGCAGTAGTAGGGCCCACAGGCCAGGAGCATATGTGCTCTGAAACCATGTGAGAATGAACGAGAATGAGAAATGAGAGAAGAGAGGGTTCACTAGAAAGCAGCAGGATACATATAGGAAACCCTAAGGGGTTGTACTCGCTATAGAGTACCCCACTGCAGGCTAGAGATCAATAACATTCTGACAGCAGATGGTGAAGGAGGGGATTGTTGAGCTTCACCATGTGAAGGCTAGCAAGCAGGTGGCAGATTTTCTGACCAAGAGACTTCCCGAGAGCGCACATTGGAAGTGTGCTAAGATGTGTGGCATGGCATTGCACTAGTTTGGGCAGCAGTGTCATGAGTGCATGTGTGATTGTGTGCATGAGAGTTTGCATGTGTGTGAGTGTGTGTGCATGCAGTCCGTTAGTCTGAGGGGGAGTTTGTTGGATGCACGTCATTCTGAGTGCATGTCATCCTAACGTCCTGCCGAGTGCTCGTGCTATTCATGTGTGCATTGTTTGCATGAGCATATGTCATTGTGCATGGCTGTTGGATATTTTCATCTCTATGTTTTTCTCCAAGTTTAAATGCTTGATCATTCAGGAGAAATCCAGAGCCTTCCAATGTTACCAAGATCGCCTTTTTCCGACCAAGACCGCCCATGTTACAACATTTCCAAGACTTGGATTTCTTATTACCTTTTGGGGTTATATCTAATTTGGGCAAGTATTGTGACATGACTATAAAGAGATCTTTGGTTGGGTGGTTAGGAAGGTAACTTTGACTTTTGGATTGGGGTGGCTAGAAGTTTTTAGCATGGGTTGCAAATGTTGCAACACCTAGGCAAAATCCAACTAGATAGGATTTTGCATGTGACACCTCAAAGACCTCATGATGAGGGTTGCATCCTTGCTGCTAGGAAGGTTCCTACCATCCTTCCCTAGCTCTTGGAGAACCCCTTCCCTCTGATGGTTCTCTTGGAGTTTCCAACTCCAACTTCTTATGCTTTCATGCTTGTACTTCCTCCATCATTCTAGTCATGCGGTTGCTGGACGTTTTCAATTGGTTCTCACTCTATAGACCATCTTGAGGAGTGATTCAACTTGGAGATGGTAGCTAAGCCTAAGGCACAACATCCTACCAAGAGATTTGCATTTATTTGGGAAATGAGTTCGTCGTAAGCTCTCAAAGTGACGGATCTTGAACAACACACGTGTCTTTTAGTGTAGAGCTCGGAGAAAGGGTTCAACTTTCGTCGGTTATCCTTTTCGTCAATGTCGCTGTTTGTTTCGCAAACGATCATGTGTCCAACTTCGAATTTTGTGAAAGAAGTAGGACACTGAACTTGGGGCAACCTTTCGCACGATTCACAGACTGCACAAAAATTTGCTCGTGTGTCCACCACACAACGCACGATGAATTTGCGAGGTTTGCGACAGTCTCATCACACATCATGCGCTCTACCGAAGCCTGCGAGCAGGCTTCCCACATCGCCAAAAGACACGTGGAGGGGGATGTGGCACGAAATCCGCACCCCCTAGGTGCCCTGGCATTTCCCCGGAGCGACACAATAACTTGGCGCGAAGGCTCTTGACACACATTTGGCACATTTGCACACAACTCAAAGATTCACGCATATTTTAAAGTGTCCCACCAAAACGAGACGTCACAGCTTCCTTGTCTTTCTCACTTCAAAATTACAACTATAGTAGCTATGGCTCAGGAACCAGACCCAGGCAACGGGAACCCATGGACTTCGTCTAACCCTTCGGCCCCAACTTCCTAACCTGCTACCAACTCTAGGCCTCAACAGCGATGAGGTCGCGCTGCAGGCCAACCTGCTACTGCCTGGCGCCTAGAAGTCATCAACTTTGACAGTATAGTCTCTCAAGCCCCTGATCCGACCGCCCCTCTTAACGCCAACAACAACACACTCGCCTACTTTGACGCTGGCAAAGTGGAAACAGACGTAGACAAAAAACGCGGAGGACGAGGGCGAACCGTCCATGCCTTGTGAAAAACACCACGGATGGGAGGACGTAGAAGTCATGCAGTTGGCGTGGACCCGCCATGACAAGGACGAAGACATTAAAGGCCAAACATGCCTGCAGGGATAAAACAGAGATGTCACCATCCTGCTTTCCATCATAAGCTCGCCGTGGTTAAGGCAAAACTCTTCCGTATGGAGGCACATTGGCGCAAAGTACGTGACCTCTTGCTCGAACCATCCGGCAAGGGGCGCCCTCCAAAAATACCCATCTACTACGACATCTACGTCCACATCTTTGGCGATCGTGCCCGCGGAGAGTCACTCTGCAAAGGTAGTGAGCTAGACTACGGGGTTGGCACGAACTACTAGGAGTGATCGTAGCTTTGCTCAGTTCCTTAGTGCTTGCACATTCACGGGAGAAATCGGCAAGAGTTTCCACTAGGCAATGTCGAAATTACAGAATGATTAAACAAGCAATACCAGAATGACTACATCAGGCACCTAGCAACCTTGCAGCTAGCCTGGTCTACCACCAGCACAGCTCGGTCGACCGCCTGCCAGCGTTGCGTAGAGGAGCCGCGCCAGCACTGCAGAAGGGCGACCTGCCAACAGAGCAGGTCGACGGCGTACCAACGCTGCAATAGAGCGGCTATCTAGCATTGCCCCGTAGAACACAGTTGTGCGCACGCTCGCAGGTGCGCGCAGACGATTGGCCCGATCTGCCTTGTTGGGCATCCGTCAGTTGCCGTTTGCGCCTGACGAGCCATATCAACTTCAGGATACCAGCCCAAAGTCGCCTGCGCCATTGCGACCTTGACGACGTTCGCGTGCCTCCGCAGAACTCGTCAAGCAGGTTACTCGGTCGACGTGGTCGACCCCCATGTGCTCTGGTCGACCCCCAGATGTCTCCGGTCGACCACCAGGTCCCTCTGGTTGACCACCAGGTGCCTCTGGTCGTCCACAACTCCCGTCGAGCTACCCCCTGGTCGACGGACCCCATCCGTTGACCAGAACCGTCAGCGGTTGTCGCCGAGCTCCCCTCGTCGACCGCTACTCACTTGTCAGGTCGACGGACTGCTCCATCGACATCCCGATCAAGCGCCATGGCAATGTGAACGAAATTGTACACCAGGTTCTGCCACATAGCGAACTCGATTGCGCTGGTATCGCCTCACCAAATAAATGAAGGTTCGCTTATCCACTTTCATATACTCGTAGAATAAACCGTCGCGCATGATGCTGATAGGGCAAAACCATCACATACGAGTGTTTAGGTGATCCCTGCAAAGGAACACGCGCTTTTGGCGGAGCGAGAAGGCTGCGACAAGTGTGGGGAGTGCAGCACCAATTGCAATAGAGACAGGTAGCAGAAAATGTCGCAGGTAACCCTTCCACATAATGGCCAGGAAGTGCAGAAGCTGAATGTCCGTCATCGAGCGAAGATGATCTGTGGTGTAGGTATTCCAATAGGGCTATTTATAGCCCTCGTGTCACAGCGTCGCCAGTGCAACGTGTCGCACTATCAAGACGTATGAACCTGGTATCCTACAAGGTTGGGCGCGACTCGAGGTAGGCTGTAAAAGTTCAACTTCGCTAGGCAAACATTCGTGCCACCTGTGATGTTTGAGAAAGAGGAAACCGCGCCTCGGGTGTCAGGAATCGATATAGTCGACCCTAGGTCTACTCAAGTTCAAATAAATACAGTTCATAACAGAACATGAATTTACAGTACACTTCAAAAGACAGGCGCCCTTAGTAGCTATGGAGGGGGTACTGATATCGATCCTTCGCTTTGGGGGGACCTTCATTGCTATTTGCGGGCACTTTCCATCCTCCGACCCTCAGGCAAGAAAGTTATATTATTTCGTTCCAGATTCACCCATGGTCAGATGTGATGTGACCGTTATTCCCCTATCAGACGCCATTATTTTTAACCCTCAGGCAGTAAAGTTACAGTATTTCGTTCCAGATTCACCCATGGTCAGATGTGATGTGACATTTATTCCCCTATCGGACGCCATTACTTTTAATCTTGGCGCTGGAACCGCTGTGACAATGAAGGAAACAGTAGACAATTGTGCTTTCACGCCAAAACTGATGAAATCTTCCTAGACTAGGCTGGACAAGCCGTCGTCTTTCTCTCTCTCTCTCTCTCTCTTTCTCTTTCTTTGAACTGTCATGGCGCGGAACTTGGCGTTTGTCCCTCTCTACACTTCTGCGGCGTGCTGGTCGTCGTTATGCTTCTCCGCCGCTGCGAGTACTAGTGCCTACTGTGTGGCGGATCATGGTCATCAACAGCGCATTGGACAGGTCTTTTCCGCGATGCCTCGCTTGCCTCCGACAAGACGACGCCCGTGCTGGGTAGCTGCGTCTGTAATGCCAAATCAGGCGCGCATCAAGCTCCAACCGTCGCAATGTGAGTGTTTTTTCTGTCACTGAAGGCGGATGGGCCGGGCAAACCGTGCCAGAATCTCTAGCTCTCCTATACGATGATCTAGTAACAGCAAGCCACCCCGAATGCAGTTTTCAAGGGGCCCTGGCTCATTATTCTTGCAGCAAATGTCGTTCCCCTTCTAGAGTAAAACGTGGAATCGGCCAATAGTCACTGAATGGCTGGCAAGCCCCATGCTCATCCCCGCGACCTGCCTTTCCATACCCCAAAACACTTCTTCTACCTTGCCCACAGTGAAAGCGCTTCTGGCCCTGGACCAAGTATTGGCTCTGTGGAATAACAGCGCGTCAAACGTGATTTGTGACGAGTGGGGTGGCGGAATTGTGAAGTGTAACCAAGACGGCATGGTTACTAACTTGTGAGCTTTGTGATGAGATGTTGCTGTGCACTTTGGAGAAGGAGGGTAAGTGAGGATGGGATAGGGGAAGGGTTGTTTGGCAGGATGGAGGATGGATGGTGAATGATGGATAATGGAAGAGGAGCAGCATTGCAAGGGCGGACTGGCTGGCCAATCCCATGGAAACGTGCTGGCATGAGCAACGACCTGACCCGACCCCACCTTCCTCCTCCTCCTCCTCCCCAGTTGAACCGTCGCTGCAATCCCAGGCATATCGCCCCTTGGGATTCAGGGCAGGCTCTTCCTCCTCCCCACCGCTCTCTTCCGCCTCCTCTTCCTCCTCCGCATCCCCTGCTTTTCCTTTCCCCTTTCCCTTGCATGCACCGTTGCCCTTCCCCCTCTTCTTCCCTTTAGATGACTTACCCGCCTTCCCTTTCCTCTTCTTGCCGATGCTCCCGAATTCCGACCAATCAATGGTGCATTCCTCCTCCACGGGTGCCTCCTCCTCCGCATCCCCTTCCTCCACCTCCACTTCGGCCGGGATGATGGCAGCCCCTTCCCTGAGGGTGCCGTTGCCCAGGTCCTGATAGAGCTTGGAACGCAGGGCTGCCTTTCGATCAAAGGCATCACGGGCCCGCCGGGTGAAGGCGACGAAGGTGACGTCAGTCATCTTCTTCGCCGTGAGGCGGTTCCGGTCGCGCCTCTGCACACGTGCCAGCGGCGACCAGTACCTCTCCACTTCGGAGGAGGTGACTGGCTGTGACAAAGACGTCACAGCCAGGTCTTGGAGCGCCTGCACCTCCCCACCAAACAGGAACCACCATTCCGCCTCCGTCATGCGCCCCGCCTCCACCAAGGTAGTTGCTGCCCAACGGGCATCGTCAGAGCCCAACCTGCCCTCCCCTCGGTGAAACTGAGCCACCTGTGCAGCTAGCATTATGCGCTGCTGCACATCTCCGCCCCGGGCCTGGATTACCTCATCCACCCCTTCCTAATCTCCTTGTCATTCCTTACCTCCCCAATGTACTGGTTACGGGGGTTGAGGAGCCAACCGATGGCATGCAGGGGGTTGTGCAGTTGTGCGTCCCACCTCCTGGCAATGATCGCCTTGATGGAGGTGAGGAAAGTGCTCCTGTCCTTAGGCAACAGCAGACCCGTCCGCTTGATGAAGTGTGCGGCTGCTCACAGTGAATAAAGAGCACTAATTAGATAGGAAGCATGAGCGGGTGGGTGGAGAGATTAACAATCAATACCCATCGCGTAATACTTTCACGGATCTTGCCGATGTCGTGCAGCATGAGGTCGAGGCAGTGGGCGGCGCAGTTGGTGAAGAAGATATGGGGATAATCCGCGCTTAGCTTGCTGGCGGCGTTTTTGTTGTTCGAAGCGTTATCCATCACGACTTGGACGACATGCTTCGGCCCCACAGTGGTGATCGCTCCCTGAATAAGCGTTGCCAAGTAGTCCCCGGATTTTTTTACGGTCTTCGAGTCAACGATGTCGACGATGACGGGTGCGGTGTCATTTTGCGCGATGACACACACAAAACCGCGGGATTTGATGTCCGTCCATCCATTGACGGAGAGCGAGCACCCGCTGGTCTTCCAGCTCTCCTTCACCGGCCGCAGCAGGTCCTCGGAGTCCGCCTTCAGCTTGTCCAGCAATGGGCCGGATACCTTGTACGGGGTAGGGAGGGTGTACGGTTTTACGTACATGATCACCGCGTCAACGAACGCCTGGATCGATTTCGACTTGCTGACGTTGAAGGCGAGGTCGTTCTCGGCAACTGCAGCAGCCCACAGGTAATCAAGGCGATTATGCGCAACTTGGTCCGTCATATCACGGATATCTCGCTGCCGGGAGCGACGCACGGGCAGCGCCTCCACCGAGGACGTGGAGGCACGGGTTGATCCTCCCGTAGCATTTTCCATGGTCGAGCGCTCCTGATCGGCTGTCGCCCGCAGCTGCTTAGCGTAGTCCGACTTGCACATCGCAACGTTGTTGTCCCTCTTGTTAGTGCCGAACATGTGCTCGCCTATCCTAGTCGCATTAGCCGTCACAGGATTCTTGCAATAAATGCAGGTAGCACCGACTACGTTGCCTTCGTCATCCTTAATCTTAATGACGTGCTCCCAAAACTGAGAAGCGGGGCGCACCATGGCGTTCCACTAGACTATGCTGAGAAAGCGTGTGTCAGAGATTGTTGTTCTGAGATACGGCAGCCAGAGAGAGGATGTGTCGAATGGGATTTTCCTCCTCCAATATGTATCTCTTTGTACTGCTTTGTCGAGGGGTGTTTGAAGAATGGATGACGTGAGATGGGAGATGGATTGGCGTATTACTATTGGCTGGAATTGTGTCGCGCGCAATTGTGCGAGGCGTCAGGATTGGGGGCGAAAAATAAACCCAGCGCGCGAGTTGTGCTAACGACTCCGCGAAACGGGTACCAAGGTTCAAGGGGTTCGCCAATGGTGTACATTTCCGCGCCTCGGAAATTTGGTGTCGTCGCGATTCGGCGAACTACTCAAACGACTCAGCGAAACGGGTAAGCGCTTTTATACCGTTCGTCGGATGTCAAAATGTCGCGCCACGCCATTTTCCTGACATGCGCGACTCGGGCCAAATTCGAGCGAGACTCAGAAGACTGTGAAAGTTTAGAAGAAAGAAGAGGACTGCACTAGCAAGAATGGGGATACAAATAGGAAACCCTAGAAGGGTTGTACTCGCTATAGAGCACCCCACTACAGGCTAGAGCATAAGATAACATTCTGACACACCCCCAGAGCCAAAGTGGGGTGTAATCAGTAGAGCAAGCAAAGCAGTACAAGCTCAGGGTGGATCACTATGTCACCACACATTCTGAGCACAAGTTCAAGAAGCAATAGTTTAAAGTTAACAATTATGAGCAAAGCTAGTGGTAGTCACAACGGGCAAGTGAGGAGGAGGAGAGAGAGTGAGAGGAGAGGAGATAGGAGGCGACGGATGAAGCTGCAGACACACGGGCAACAGGAGGCACACTGGCATAGCGGCTACCGGAACAACGCTCCGGAATACTGGAGTAACTGGCCCCGCGGCTAAAGTAGCGGCAGACGAGCAACGGACCCACGGGCGGCTGGCACAGCTGGCTACGACTGGGCTACCGGACGAAGTCCCCGGAATACAGGTGCTGCTGGCGACACGACGGCAACCTCCATTCAGCTTCCCCAAACGATCCCACTCCCCCTGACACACACCCGCTGCTACACCCCTAGCTCCACTCTCACCCCACCCCCTAGCACCACTCCGTCGAATCCCACACACCCACCCCCCTCAGCGGTAGCTGCAGCAGTGGGAGACAGAGGAGGAGGAGGAGCAGGGGAGACTACACACCCGCCACCCCCCAGGTCGCCCCTCAGGTCGCCTCGACAGGCGACGGGAAAAGGGGGGGGGGGGGGGGGGGGGGGCGGTGCCGTAGGTAGGGCGACGGAGCCGGGCCGTAGGTAGGGCGACGAGACGACGGGGCCGCAGGTAGGGCGGCGGGGCCGGGGCCAGGGCCGCAGGTAGGGTCGCCCGAGCCGCGCGCAGGCGGCCTGAGCCGCGGGCTGGCCTGGCGCCGCCCGTACGGGTCGCGCGTAGGCCTGGCGCGGCCCGTACGGGCCGCGGACGGGTCTGGCGCGGCCCGTACGTGCCGCGCGCAGGCTATACGGGCCGCGCGCAGGCCACGACGGGCGACGGGGGGCGACGCGGAGGTCCCCGTTGCCCGTCGCAGCGCCTCCCGGGAGCGGCGCGCGGCGTGACGGGGCAGTAACCCGCCGCGCGCCACGGGGCGCACGGCGGGAAGAGAACCGCCGCGCGCCTCGGGGCGCACGGCGGGCAGAAAACCGCCGCGCGCCTCGGGGCGCACGGCGGGATGAAAAACTGCCGCACGCCATGGGGCGTGCGGCACAGAGAGTAGTGATAGCAATAGCAGTAGGAGTTGCAGCGGAAGCATCGAGGTGGTAAGTCCACCCACAGGATCGATCCAAGGGGATCGACCTGCTCTGATAGCATGTGAAAATTTAGAAGAAAGAAGAGGACTGCACTAGCAAGAATAGGGATGCAAATAGGAAACCCTAGAAGGGTTGTACTCGCTATAGAGCACCCCACTACAGGCTAGAGCATAAGATAACATTCTGACAAAGACTTCTCACGAAATCCCCCAAAACGAACTCGACGGGGCTGATTGTTGAAATTCGGTGTACACTTTCTCCGTTCTAAAAATTCGGTCGAAAAAAACGATCGTATTTTTAATCGAAATTTAAAAATAACATTTAACCGTACTAAACCGTTTTAAACGACCGTATAATACGATACCGTATAATACGGCCCTAAAATCAATATTTCGGTCGTATTTTTGATCCTTGATACGTAATGTAGGTCCACACCTTTCGTTCATGATTCGTATGGCAACATGCCAGCAGCTCACAGCCCTCTTTGCGCTTCAGAATCTGTCAGTGCTTACCATTGTTGGGAGGAGCCAGGATGGATGGCCGTAGGGGTACTTGAAGGTCCACAGATTGGGTTGTTGAGGGTGCGCTGAAACACCACTGGAACATGGGTGCTGGCGACCTAGAAAAATCCTTCACACAGAGCATAATGCTTCTCACACAGTTGGAAGTTCCCTGTATATCTCTTGCTCTCATTCCACATGCCGCTCAATAGGTACTACTAGTTTTTTTATTAACATCCGCAAACCCTCAAAGCTTGAAAGGTACAGGACCTCGAAGCTCACACTCTTGGAATTTGCTTCTTGTATTGTCACCCTGCCTCTTGCATTGCATTGCGTTGCATGCCACTCTGCAAGGATCTGTCAATAAGTAGCTTCAGTGGAAGCTTGGTGATTCTCGGCCATTTCCCCAAGTTGCAATATGTGTACGCAACTACTCCCGTTCTGCCATTGCACTTTCTCGCCTGTATACCCACCTTCATCATTCGAGTCGAGTCCACGGTTACTTTATCATCAGTTTCCCTTGCTTGTTGCTCTCTCCCACATGTGAGGTGTGCGTACCCCCCCGCCCACTTGGTTGCCATGGCACACACCAGAGATCTGAGCCGCACCATCTTTGGAGGATCCATCCCGCAAACCATCAGCAATGCCAAGAGCTTGCATACACCCTACTGTTGGAACCAATTTCCGAATTTCTATCTCATCTATTAGCGTGCCAATGCACACTTTCCCCTGCTGGCACGTTCTTCTATGCACCAACTCGTATGCATCCCATCCCAGTAACCTCCAGAGCCTGTATCTCAATGGAAGTCTCCATGGCAGCATAAGTCACCTCACTACACTCCAATCCCTGTATTTGTTCCCTCACCTTTCCCAACTTCCTTCCTTGCCTTCCTAAATCTCCCCCCTGTCCTCCTCCAACCCCAAGATGGCAAGCACATCGTTTAAACCTTGTGGTAGCACTTTTCTTTGTGCTCTCTTCACTTCACAGGCGCTGCTCGGCTTTATTTCTTATCGCACCAGTCAGTTGCTAGCATGTCCCGAACTCCCTTTCCTCCCTCTGCACTGCCCCCAACATGCAGGCGCATTGGGAACCCCCTGCAGGTCTTTCTTTGTTTTGCATACCTTCACGAATCTCCAACAGGGTGAGACTGACCGGGATGTTTGGGCCTGCTGCTGATACATAAGGTAATGAGCTCAAGGCTCTTAAGTACATAAGACATGGGCAATCCCAAGAAGATCAGCTGAAATCTCTAATTTGTGGGTTGGAGATTTCGGTTTATCCCATTTGGGTGAGGTTGGGATGTGGGTGTACACTCAACCAACGCAGACTACAAACTACACAAATCTATTATGTAAAAAAGTACAGGTACAAAAGATGAGATTGAGGGCTAACACTAACACATGGTGCATGATGTGTGCAAATCACCTTCAATATATTTGCAAGGGCTCTAGTTGCGTAACATGGCTACCGGACAGAAGACTGTGTATGGTCAGGTGGTCAATGGTAAATGTGTGAGTGCAGGTCGAGGATCTGATGCTTGGGATGCTCTTAGAAAGAATCACTTATGTGATGGGAAGCACAGTGCAGTGCAGCAGGGCAGCTCATGTGACAAGGCCAGTTGTGTATGCTCACCTCACCTTCCTTGCAACACCTCACAATCCACCTTCCTTGCCACACCTCTCACACTCCACCTTCCTTGCTACACCTCTCACACTCTACCTTCCTTTCTGCACCTCTCACACTCCACCTTCCTTGCCGCACCTCTCACACTCCACCTTCCTTACCACATGTCACTGCCTTCTATTCTCCTAACATGATCAATCCCACGTGCTGCTCATTGCTCCATGCACCCAAGCAAATGGGGCTTCTGCCCCACCCATTGCTACTGTGACTGGTGCTGCATCTTTACAATTCTCAATAGCCCCCTGCGTGAGTGCTTCTGCTGTGGCGCGGCAAATGTAGCCCACTGAAAGCTAGTCACTCTTGCAGCCTTGAGCAGTACCTGCCTTTCCCTGTGATGCAAGGCTCTGTGGACGACCTCTCATGTCTCGCCCCACTCACTCGTCTCCAGGACCTGTATGCCTCGACTCTTCCCAACCCACCTTTTCCCTTAATCTAACTCATCCCTACCCATCCTCCCCGTCCCTTTAATCTAAATCATCTCTGCCTATTCTCACTTGTCCCTACCAGCCTTTCCTCCCCTGACATTTTTTCCTAGCCGCCTTCACCGCCCCTCTCACCTCCCACCTACTTGTCTTCCCCTCCCCTCTCACTAATGCTTACCTGCCCTTGCTTTGCCAACACCTGTTCCTATTTAGAGAGCAATTTGCAAAGTACACCACCCATCCAAGGGGCTCGCCACCTGCTGCTGCCCCTCTCCCACCCACATTGAACATGGCACTTGCCCATGCTTCATTCACGCCTCCTCACTCGCTCCCATTCTCTCTGCTTCCCAACTTTTGTCTGTCCACTTTACCAGTGTCTTTCATCCTCCCTCTTGCACCCTTGCCTCTCCTTCATCCTCACTCCTCCCGAGTGCTCTCATGAATCTCAACCTGAATGCTGGAGATTTCCCTTCTTCTGTTGCTGCACTTCCTTCACTCTTGCACCTGTAAGTCTGTCGGATGTCTTCCTTCCTCCTCCTTGAGCGAGTGCTTGGAATAGTTTTATGTCATGTTTTATGCATTGTGCTGGCAATCACCTAAGTACAACCATGATACTGGTGTGGTCTCATCTCTCACGTGCTTCTGGTTAGCCTTGGGCATGTGCTTGCTCATTGCACGCGTTGCATCTCTTCAAGGTAGGCTTATGAAAAAAGCCAACGAATTTCTTCCCCTCTTACGAAAGTTGAAACAGGAGCGAGCGGGCACATTTATGTTTCAAGGTTTAGCGCTCACCATCTCTCCTCTCCCTCCTTTCCTGTACTACAGTGACCTAAGTTTCCTTCCCATCACCCACTTACCGCAATGGATTGCTTCACTCTCTAAGCTCACTCATTTGTGAGTGGCACCATGAGCCCCTCGCCCCACCCCGCCCTGACTATTATTAGTGCTTCCTATTGCACCTTTCCTGTGCTTCACTTGGGATTCAAAAGGTCAGCGCACGTCCGCTCAGTGGGTACCACTCCTCTCATTCCCTGCACCACCTGCAATTTGCCAGAGTCTTTCCCCTTGCGCTCTCTCCCTCCATAGCTTGCTGCTAGAGCGATGCCAATGAAATCGGCTCAAGCTCGCACCCCGATTGATCTATGCTGCTTTGAATTGAGGGTGTTTGTCGGCTTTCCCTGTGCTGCCCTGTGCCATGCTGCTCTGCGCAGGGATGCCCTGCACTGGGCCACATGTGGCTCAAGGCAGAGTCGATCAGGGCAATGAACCATGGCTAGAGGGATGGCACGATGGCTAGAAAGAGAGATTCTGATGTACGCTGATGCCACTTGCAATGCTCCCCCCCCCATGCCTCTCCACCGATTGGAGTGCCCCGTGCCTCCCCTACCCGCCTGCCCTTGTCTGCCCTGCAGGGATGTCACCAGAAACTTAACAATTCGCCGCTCTGCACTGTTCCCCACTGAGTGGATGGCGCTCACAAGGCTGGAGACGCTGTGAGCCATCGGTCGTGCCAAGAGCACACCATCTTGGTTTGACACCTTGTGCTGCTCACCTAGCCATCCAAAGCCATCCGTTCCTTATATTTCCCACCAAATCCCACTGGGCCCATCTCTCCTCTGCCCGTCCATCTGCACATTGCTCGATGGCCCACTCAGCCCAATCCTGTTGCCTTCTAGCAACCAATGGATGCGCCCCTCCTCTCCACTCGCCCCTCCTCTCCTCTCGCCCCTCCCCTTGCACCTGCAGGTGGGCCGGTTTGAATGGCTTCACTGGCTCTATCCCCTCGACCATCTCCACCCTCACCGCCCTCACCATCTTGTACGCCTCCCCTTCCCATCATCTCTCCCATTTTTGTCCTCTCTCCCCTTCCCATCCTCTCAATCCTTCCTTCCTCTCAATCCTTCCCATCCACTCTACCCTTACCATCCTCTCTCCCCTTCCCATCCTCTCTCCCCTTCCTATCCTCTCTCCCCTTACTTCTTCTCTCCCTTTCCTTCCTCTCCTTCCCCTTCCTTCCTTGGAAACCTCATTAGAAATGCAGTGGTTGCACAAAAGATGAAGAGTATACTTGCTATACAACAAAGCGCCAGGTTGTGAGTGCGAGTTTGTGAGCACCAGGTTGTGAGCACCAAGGTGTTACAATCCAGCTAGATAATGGTCTCCGAATAAAGCTATTGCACAGGCAGTTCATCCAGTGAATGTGGTTTATCCAGTGAATGCAGTTCACCCAGTTAAAGCGATTGGTGCGGTGAAAGCGCTTCTTTCTATGAAAATTGTTCTTCCTGAAAAAGGCAATTTATCCTGTGAAAGTTGTTCTTCCTGTGGCCATTCCCCTTCCTTCCTCTCCTCCTCGCCATGGCCCCACCAGGGAGCTCTACAGGAACAACATCTCAGGAAGCATTCCTGCTGGCATGAGCAAGCTGCCAAAACTGGACTACTTGTAAGCCCCTCACAGCTTCCCCTTTGACTTTCCACCATGGCTTCCAGCATAAATCAGCGTGGCAACAGAATGTTGTGGAGTTGATTCAAGTCGTACCAGATCCAGGAGAACCAAGGCATGGTGTGGTCTTCTCATGTAAATGTTCTATTATGTCCTCTGTATATCACTCTGGTTGTATGTCCTATTGGCTCTATGTCCTATTTTACCAGTGCTCTTGCAAATGTGACTTTCACGAGTAGGCAAGTCTTTCTCAAGTCGTCATGTAGAAAAGCTGCGTTGATGAGAAGGCCTCGCAATATCAAAAGCTGTCATGCATAAAGTTCCTCTCCCTTGTTGTAGGAAATAATTCCATTGTATAAACTTGCTGCATTGCACTGCCACTTGCTATCCACATAATACGTGCGTGTCTTGGCCTCCACACACACGTCCCCGCCTCCACACACACGTGCCTGCCTCCACGCAACACAACACAGGTTGCTCGGCTCTAACAATATCACTGGCGCCGCTCCTGTCACTCACGCCTACTTGTGAGACTTCAAGGCTCGCCTCGCCTGGCATGAGCTCACGCGTGGCGTGGATTGCAACGCATCTCCATCTGGCACCTTGCATGCTGAGTCGCAATTCAAAACAGAATGAGGTGTTGGAGGCCCTTGAGCAGTCTCTCTTGCACAGTCTCTCTCACCATGCTTTCTCATCTCCGTGTGGCAACTTCATGCAAGCGCCCCTTGAAAATCGCCTATTGTTACTTTAGCAATGTACAAACGTTGCATATCCAGTATGTTGCGTTGAGTTCCTAGTAGCCTAAGGTTGGCATTACCATACTATTGTGCTTCCATGATTTCTCAAGCTTCTGATACCTTAGAGGCTCCACTTGGTCATGGTTAGGGATGAGCAAAGGGCGAACTCGAACACGTTCGGGTTCGGCTTCGCTCGAACATCACCATTTCCCGAACCGAACAAGGTCCGGTTCGGCGAACAATTTGGCAAGCAGGAGGTGTTCGCCGTTCGCCCATGGGGGCGAACATTTGGTATATGTGGGCGAACTCGAACATGTTCGAACCGAACATGTTCGAGTTCGCCCGTGGCCAATTTCGTTGTAGTCACATTGGTCAAACAGGGAATCTGGAGGGTTGGGAAGATAGATAGGGGGGTGGAGGGTGTATATGTGTTCATGCAACGCACACTAGCATACGACACCATCATGTTTTGCCTATATAAAAGTCACTGTCAAATTAAATCCTACGCTTGCACACCACTGCTACTACCAACAACGGCATGCTCCGCGTCAGAGGTGTCGCCAGCACCCACCCCCTCCTGCTCCTCCTCCCCCTCCTCCTCCTCCTCCCACTCGTCGTCCTCCTCCTCCCCCTCGCCTTCAATGGCGAACTCTGGTGGTGCCTCGCCTTTTGCACGGCGGCCCTCGCCTATCCTCTGTCCAGGGTGTGAGGTGTACCATGATCTGAGAATCATGGAAGCTCGCGTCCTCCGAGAGGCTAGGCGGTGCCGCTTCCAGGAAATGAGGTTGCGACCGAGGGAGAACACGCGCTCGCTCGACGCGGACGTGGCAGGGATGGCAAGATAATCCCGGGCCATGCGCCTCAGCGTCTGCATGTTGGTGGCGCTGCGCCAATACTCCAACGCTGACACGTCGCACCGCACCCTCTCAGATAAGTACCTGCCAACCTCGTCATCCTGCACCATCCCACCCCTCCCCGCCTCCTGGCTCGCCGACAGACGCGCCGCAAGGCGTCGGCAACTAGGGAGAAACTCGGCGTCTTCGTCGTCATCCGCCGCGTCTCCCTCCTCCTCCTCCGTCACTGGGGCAAGTGGGGTCGGCCGAGGGGCAATCGCTGCAGCCCGGGCCTGGTACTTGGCCACGCGTTCGCGAACCAGCTGGATCACCTCGCCTAACGAGGGACGAGGCCTCGACCTCCGGTCGGTATCGGGATGCAGCGTCGCCCAGTGCGCGTCGTTGAACCACGCCGCCTTCATGGAAGGGTCCAGGAAGGTCGCGATCCACAACTCGTTGCTTGACATCAGTTCATACTTCTTCAAGAGACCCAGCGCCGCCTCAATCATCGGCTTCAGCGTAGCCGATGGCCCCTTGGCAAGGCGCGACTCCATAGCGTCGATCAGGCCGTTGTAGTACGGCAGGACCATCGCCACTGTAGGGTACGCCGCTCCCTCCGCGGCCTTTGAGACTTTGGCGAATGGGCTGAGGAAGGTCTTGACAGAATGCAGAGTCTCCCAGTCTGCGTCCGTCAGGCGCAAGGTGTCCATCTTCGCCTTGTCAGCCTTCGACACGCCCTGTCGGGTAGAACGTATGGGTGGGCGGGTGTTAGGGTGGAAAGTGGGGTGGTTGAGGTTGTTGGAGGTCCGATAAGTTTAGTCAAGCATGGCCAACAGTGGTGCAAGTCCCAGAACAAAACACCCCGACCGACATACCAACACATAAAACCGCATACATAACACCTGGCACACACACACACCTGTGTCTGGGCAAAGAAGATAGAGATGGGTTCCTGCAGAACCCCAGCTCGCTCGACCATGTTGTGGGTCGACCCCCAGCGTGTGGGACTGTCCTGCACCAGCTTCAATGCCGGCTTCGGTTTGGCGGGGTTGCCCTGCGCGTTCAGGGTCCGCTGAAGGCCCAAGAACTTCCCTGAGCGCTGCGACGAGAAGCCTATCCACGACGCCATCTCTCTCAGAATCTTTAGCAACTTGCGGATGGCGGTCACAGCGAGTGCTGCCTTCACTGCAAGGTTGATCACGTGTGCCAGGCATCTGCGCACATCACAAAACATTAATGGCGGAGAGAAAGGGAAGTGTGAGTACACATTGGCATAGACCCGAGAAATACTACCACTCTCAAGCCGCATAGGCCCACCCGCCCGTACTACAACCACAACATGTTCACAGGAACGACGCACCCAGACTCCTTCATCGCACATCCCACGCACACTCCCTTTCATACCGGAAGTGCATGCGCCAGTTGAAGAAGCACTGGCCACCACCCTCCTCCGACATCCACCTGAAAGCGGCAGTGTTGCTGGAGGCGTTGTCTGAGGTGAACCCAAGACAACGCGTCTCCAACCCCCACTGCACCACCGTCTCCTCAACCACCCTCGCCATCTGCTTGCCCGTGTGACGCCCGTGAATCTCGCGGAATTCAAACACCATTGTGCGCAGCTGGTAATTCTCGTCGATCCAGTGACCCGTTACCACTAGCCACGCCCTGTTGTTGGGCGACGTCCACATGTCGATGGTGAACGACACCCTGCACCCCAGCTCCCCCTCCTTCGCCAGCATCTCCGCAATGGCTGACTCAAGAGCGGCAGTCGCATAGACCACTGTGTCGCGGGAAACCGTCCAGCGCGAGGGGACGAAGTTCTTCTGCGCGCAGTTGCGGTTTAGCAGGATGAGTAGCTCACGAAACTGGAGAGGGGTAGAGACAAGGGGGGAGAGGGGAGTAAACATCAGGGGGATGGGATGAAAATAATATAGCACTGCACTGGGCCACACGCAAACAGTCAAAACACAAAGGGACAGACCCGTCCACTAACCACATACTTGCCCAATCATGCATGGGATGGGATGGGGCACTTACAGCCTCGGCCTCGACGATGCGGAAGGGGAGGTCGCAGGTGACCACCAGCTTCATGATCGCCTGCCGTAGCTGCACCGAGGTCAGTTTGGTTGTCATCCACCGCTCCATCCCGCCTGACCCATGACCTCCACCAGTCGCCATCCCTTTCCCCTTGGCGAGCTGCGGCCAAGTCTTGGCATGTGGCCACTGATAGACGTAGCCATCCGGCACTCCCTTGTAGCCCCCACGGGGAAACGTCTCCCCTGGCAAGTGAACGGACGGGGTGTGGTAACGGTGATGCCACACATGCATGTGCGCAGTGTGGAAGCTCGCAAAGTGCCGCTCGCCGGGGGTTGTTGTGGATTGCTTCCACGAAATCCTGTCTGTGCAAATCTTGCACTGACGCTTATCGTCTGCCCCTAACGGTCCGAACATCATTACTTGCCACCCCGGCTTCCTATTACCCTTGCTTGTCCCCTTACTACTCTCGGACCCTCCGTCCTCGTCTAGGAACTCGGGAGCGATCACACCCTCGCCCAAGGGCTCCCCAGTGAACGTGCAGGGATACGCCCGCTCCCTCAACTTGTTGGCCTTCTTCCTCTGCCTCGGCTCCCTAATGGTTACGACCTTTCTCCCCCCCACCTTAACCCCCACGCTCCCTCCCCCTTCACGCACATGCTGTGATCCCGCCTCTGTCGCCGCCCTTCCACCACCCTCTCCCACCTCCTCCTCCCGCCCCTCTGGCTCCAACCCATCCATCTCGTGGTCTTCATCATCATCATCTCCCCCCTCCCCACCGCCATGCGTCTCTGGGTCCCACGCCGCCTCGCTGTCATCCCCGCTCCCCTCAGTGTCCTCCTCCTTCTCGCCCTCACCATCCTCCTCCTCATCCTCCTCCTCACTGCCGCTCTCCGGCTGCGTCTGCGTCTGCCCCGAAGGAGGGGGTCGAGGGCCGTCGTAACGGAAAGAGCGACGAGAGGTCGGCGCCGGTACGGTAAGCAACCCCCCAACGAAGATCGTGCCGGCTCCTCCC